TGTCAAAAGAAGCGCCCTTGGCCAAGGCATCTGCAACTTTATTGCATTGCGAAGCACATGGTTAATACGAACACTCCAATTTCGCCTTCTTAACTCATTAAGATGCCATCCAAGTGAGTTGGCACCTTCATAATCCGATCAAACAATATTTTGAGGCTTCCATACTATCAAGTTCAAGAATAACTTGCCTGAAACCTGCATCCCAAGCGAGATTCAGACCGTTATAGGCACCCCAAAGCTCCCCATCTAACACCGAACAGACACCAATAAATTTTGAAAACCCAAAAATCCAATTTCCTAAACTGTCTCAAGCAACTCCCTCACACCGAGCATAATTATTCGTCCCCCTACAAGCAGCATATGTGTTGATTTTGATCCACGGAGTCGGAGGAACCGTCCATCTATCCGGACAACGACATATAACAACATTATTTTTCGCAGATGGAGACACCCTGGCTTGAGCTTGAAGAGTGAATTGAATAAGCCTACTACTCCGTTCAATTATCGTTCAGTCCCCATCCAAAGGAGTTTAAAAAACTTTTGCATTCTGAGCTCGCCATATATTCCAAATAACTACCGAGAAGAGCAACAACTAATTATTTGGATTCTTAGTAAACTTTAAACCGTCTTGAAGATTCATGGCTATCCACGACTTCGTATTCATGGATAAAAATTCATGTATTTTGTTAGTAACAACCAACTCGCTCTATATTTGAAAAGTTGTTGGGCACTACCTTAAAACATGGTCAATATCTTCACAAGCAGCCCCACATATTGAGCAGTTCGGATCATCCGCAAAATGGCGACGAACACACTCATCATTCGTCATAATCTTACGTTTACAAACAAGCCACATAAACAATTTGATCCGGGGTAGGCCTTGGAATTTATGGATGATATTCCAAATTTTATTCGGAGTTTCATTCGCTTCCCCACTTCAAACAATATATATCGACTTAATGAAAAAAGAGCGATCATTGTTGCGACCCCACCCCCACAATGTCATGGTCCACGCTTAGAATAACTTTTGCCAAAGTAACACGCCCTGCTAAGGACAGGCATCTCGCCTTCCAAACACTTAGCTTCTTTTGAACCATTTGTAACAGATAATTGTAGGAAGCGGACGTAACCCTCTTATGCAGAAGGGGCACTCCTAGATATTTACCCAAGTCATCCACTTCAATGAACCCGAAATCATTACTTACAGAATGCCGCAGTAAATTAGGAACATTTTTGTAATAGTAAATGGTGGTTTTGCACAACTTTGTGGCCAGAGACCACACAAAAATCCTCAAGAACTGCTTTAATAATCATCATTTGTTCCAATGAAGCCAGTTGAATGGCTTGAGAGAGTCTTTCCATACAGAGAACGAACAAATAAGGAGACAAAGGGTCCCTTGCCTAATACCCTGAGAAGGCTTTAAAGAATCTGGCACAAAGCTAATTTGAAACTCCTGAGTAATTATGATATTGTCAATGATTGAACAACCTGGCACAAAGCTAATTTGATTTTCAGAAACCCAATCCGGGAGAAAAGGCTTCAGCCGATTAACAAGGAGCTTCGCAATAATTTTATAATTTACCGTACACAGGCTTATAGGCCAAAATTGACTCATCGATTCCTGACTAACAACTTTAGGAAGAAGCACCAGCAGTGTGCGGTTGATGGAAGCTGGAATACACCCAGTACCGAAAACCAAATTAATAAATTTACAAACGGTGTTCCCAACAATATCGCAATTATTCTGATAAAATCCAGCATTCAAACCAAGAGCCTTCGAAGAACCCATATCAAACACCGTTTGGCGACTTTCTTCAACAGTTATTGAAGCAGTAAGCCGAGATTTGTCATTAACAGTAATCAACGGAAAGCACCCCTAACTGAGTAAGGCTGATTGTTGGAGGCAGAAGCAGAAAACAACTCTTTATAAAAATTAATAGCAATCATATGAAGCTCATCTTTGTCAGAACACCAGATACCATCAGATCGCCGAAGAGCAGGGATAAGATTCTTCCTTCTCCTAGCCATCACCGAAGCATGAACATACCGAGTATTGCGATCTCCATGTAAAACCCAATCCACCCGAGCTTTCTGGCGCTAGAGGCTCTCCTCTTGATCAAGAACCAACTCCAGCTCATTATGCAAATGTTTGCCCAAGGAAATTAGTCGGTCAGAATGCCGCTGAGCAAGGGATCTATCAATTCCGCGCAAACGGGCTTAGATATTTTTCTTACGAGCACAAATTTGGCCGAAAGTCTCCTTATTCCATTTACCAACCTCATTTTGAAATTTCGCAACCATCTCTTCTAGTGAATTATTACCATTCCATGTACCGCTCTCGAAACTGAGGATGAGTTTACCAAGCATTGATAAAACGGAACGGCCGATTACCAGAATCACACACAACCTCATTTTTAATAAAACTAACTGATTTATTTACGTAAAACTATCACATTTAGTATTTTGAAAATATAAATATTGAATATGATATTACCCTAGAATAAAATTATTTTTTTATTAAAAGATGTAAAATTTATATATTTGAGTGTTATGTATCTTATTTAGATTTTAAAATTTTGAATGTTGTCATTTTTAGAGATTTTGATTTCGAATAATTATATATGTAACTTGTATTATTAACGACTAAAAATTATTCTTTATAGATATTATTTTAATTTAATTTTTTGGTTTTACGTATTTTTAGCGCCTAAAGAATTTTTTATTAAAAAATAAGTGTTTTTTTTTCGTTAAACTTTTAGGTGCATACCATTAAAAATAACGTTAAATGACACATGTAATGTTCATATTTTAAAAAATATTTTTAAAAAATATTTTTATTTTTTAAAATTTTAAAATATAAATGTGACACATAATGCTTAACGATTTTTTAATGATAAATATGTAAAAGTATAAAAAAATATTAGACACCTAAAATATATTAAACCAAAAAATTAAAATAAATAATATTATATATCAAATTCATTTTTGAATAAATTTAATAATAATAAAAAGCGACGATGAAGAAAATTGCAGGTCCAGAGTCACGTACGTGTCAGAAGAGTGGGCCAAGGAGAATCTCATCCTCATAATCAATTCAAATTAAATGTAAAGTCAGAGTCCCACTCACCACAAAACTTTTGGGGACCGAATCTATCCTCAATTACTTTCTACTATCATCTATTTGATGATAAGCTACTTTTTCTTTTTTACTTTCCAGATTGATTAAACATTTACTTTTATTATCTTGTAATTTTTTGTTTTAAACAATTTTTTATTGGATGAATAAAGAAAATTTGGAGGTTTCATATTGCCCATGTGAAATGTCCCTAGTATCCTTCCATCTTTCTGTCCATTTATGGCGTGGAGTATGCCATGTGGAAATTTGCTTGCCTTTGCTTGTCGAATTTGGATAGCCACCTCTTTTTATTTTGTATATAAAAAGTATTCAATAATTTTATAATAATAACATGTATTTTCTTAAAGAGAAAGGAAAATAAAACTAGTATCAAAATTAAAATAATATGTTTATTTTTTTAAAAAATATCTATTTAATTAATTTTACAACACGTTGCTTTTTCTAAGCCAAGAAAAAGTTTATGCTTTGCCAATATTTCGAAAGAATATTTCTTTTTCTTTTAATTTTCGGAACATATCTTTAAAGAATATTCCAATATTTTTATAATTATAAGAATTAAAATAAATAAGAAAAAACCCTATAAGGTCCATGAATCCATGACCGTGGAAAGCACGTTTCTAACGTTCCAGCTGTTACCAACGCCATTCCCTAGGGGTAGATTAGGCACAAAACTAAACAAATTTACCGGAACGTTCCTTGAAACGAACCAGGGGCAAATATGACATTTTGTCAACGAGCAGCTTTTACTAGAGAAAAAGCCCTACCTCCCTTATATAAATTGCCCCCCTCGCCATCCCTTATTCATCATATTCAGAGTTTGCGTGAGCGGCTTACAGATTCAAAACTCTTAGTTCATATTTTCCAAGCCGATTATCATAATTGTTTTCTCTCTGAAAGGTATTTCCCCTTTTATTCTGTAATTACTTCTCTCTCTGTTTTGATCTTGGTGTTTTTCAGATCTGAATGTTCTTAGATTCAAACTTATGGGCTGATATTTTGTTATTTTTTTCTCTTAGGATCTGAACGGAGTTTAATAGTGGATTTCTTGTCACTGATTGGTCAAGGATTTTTAAATTTTTGAATTGTAAGTACCGGTTCTTCCCTTTTTCCTTTAATTGATGATTCGATTGTATGATTATTATTGTTATTTTATACGGTTTTGCATGCAACTTGAATTGAAGGTTGATTTTTTTTCTTTTAATTATCTATACTTTTAATGTTATTCTTGATAATGCATTTTTGAGTTTATAAAATTGAAAATTCGGTATGTTTATAACCTATATTTATGTTCATTGAATCTTATCATTGTTTATAAATATTTTGGAGGCTTGTTTTAGATTTGGTTTTATTGTTTCTTTATGGTTGGATATTTTCTGTTGTACGATATAACATAGATTTGAAATTTCTTTTTAGTTATTGAATTATTTGTTGATATTTACCTGTTGTATCATATGTCTTATGTTGGTGCTTTTAATGATTATGCAGGTTGAATGTTTTAATGGAGTCTAAAGGTGGGAAAAAGAAGTCTAGTAGTAGTAAATCTTTGTTCTACGAAGCTCCTCTCGGTTACAGCATTGAAGACGTTCGACCAAACGGTGGAATCAAGAAGTTCAGATCTGCTGCTTACTCCAACGTAAGTGGTGGCCTTCTTCTGAATATTGCGGATCATGAAGGCTGTTGCCTTTATTTGTATCAATACTAATAATTGTTCTTTCTTGTTTTGCAGTGCGCTCGCAAGCCATCCTGATATACTCACAAGTGTTCCGTCTGACCACTAGTAGTGGTTATCAACTTTTATTTTCTTTATTAGTTTAGTTTTAGACTACTTCTACAGACTTCCTCCTCCACCTCCTTTCTCTTTCTCTCCGCAATTGGTTTCGTTGCATTTGTGTTCTCATTCGGTAACTGCATACTTTCTGTGTACCTGATAAAGCTTGGTGATCTTTGTTGACATCATAATGGCCCTATCTGCGATAGGATTTGAGGGTTATGAAAAGAGGCTTGAAATTGTTTTTTTTGAGCCTGGCATCTTTACTGACCCTGAAGGGAAGGGTCTTCGGGCACTTTCCAAAGACCAGTTGGATGAGTTTCTGGGTCCAGCTGAGTGCACCATAGTTTCTTCTTTGTCAAACAAGCTTTTGGATTCCTATGTTCTTTCTGAGTCTAGTCTCTTTGTCTATCCATACAAGATCATTATCAAAACCTGTGGGACCACAAAGTTGCTTCTTGCTATCCGTGCTATTTTGAAGCTTGCCGACAGTCTTTCACTTTCTGTAAAATCTGTTAGGTACACCCGTGGGAGTTTTATCTTCCCTGGTGCTCAGTCATATCCTCATAGAAGCTTTTCTGAAGAAGTTGCTATTCTTGATGAACACTTTGGAAAGCTTGGTGGTGGTAGCAAAGCTGTTGTAATGGGCGTATTGGATGAACAGAAATGGCATGTTTATTCTGCAACTGCTGAATCAGTTTTCATCAACGATCCTGTTTACACTTTGGAAATGTGTATGACTGGCTTAGATAGCGAAAGAGCTTCTGTTTTTTACAGAGATATAACATCCTCTGCAGCTATGATGACTGTTGATTCTGGCATAAGAAAGATACTTCCTAAGTCTGACATATGTGATTTTGAGTTTGATCCATGTGGTTATTCTATGAATGCTATTGAAGGTGCTGCAATCTCTACTATTCATGTTACCCCTGAAGATGGTTTTAGTTATGCAAGCTTTGAAGCGATGGGATATGACTTGAAAGAGCTGGATCTGAATCAGCTTGTTGAACGTGTGTTGGCATGTTTCAAGCCGAGGGATTTTTCTGTTGCTGTGCACGTTGATGTTGCGGGTCAGTCACTTGAGCAGATTTGTCTCCTTGATGTTGAAGGGTACCGTTGTGGAGAGATGAATATTGAATGGCTTGGAACCGGTGGATCCATTCTGTATCAGAAGTTCAGTGCTGGGAGCTGTGGATCCCCAAGATCAACTCTGAAGTGCTGCTGGAAAGATGAAGAAGAGGAGGAAGATTAGTTCTTTTTATTATGTCTCGTGTTGTTTTCTAGTTAAATAAATAGCTCCTCACGCTTGCGTTGTCTTTGTGAGGGCACGTAGTCAGTAATTTCTTTTGTATTTCAAATTAATTGCTCATGAATCTGGTATTGCCTGGTTCGAGAGCATGGCATCTTTTGATTCGTGTCGTTATAAAATCAATTACTGGACATGGAACATGATTTTATGCAGTGTGATTTTCGTTGCAGACTTGAATGGAATACCATTACTGTCAAGTTTCTTAGAATGGCCGGTTATGAGCTTGAATTAATATATCAATGCGGACGCGTGTGGGATATGAAACGAAATGAACGGACGGGATTAATTAAACAAGTTCTTGTAGCTTATAATTTATATTGGATAATCCTAAAATCATATTTGAAGATTAAACGAATATGATTGTTAGAAGAGCCAGCAGCTGTGGGTTAGCCATTTTCTTTAGAGCACTAACCATTAAGTTCTTGTTCCACCAAGAAGAAAAGAACAAAGTTCTTATATAGTATTCCAGGGTCGGCCAGATATGATCAGCAAGAAGCAAGTGGGCATACTTTCTCCCAATTTCACTTGGTTTGGCTGTATACTGCTACCTGTGCATAAGGAATAAAGGTGGTAAAACTCGAACCAACCATTTAATGCCATTTACTGGGAGATTATTGTTATTCGTTATCCAGGATCTAGTTCTTTGCTGAAGCAATAAGTTGCATCCAGATTATTGGAATTGATATCCCACCCAAAAAATAGGACGATCTCACTCTCAGCAATGCCTAATTGTTCACATGGCATCCTTAAGCAGGGCGTATCTGGCCTGGGCAGTTGTTATATATATTATACTTGCGGGAAAAATGGTTTTATATTAGTTACATGGTCCAATTATTTTTTTAATACTTGTCATTAAAAGTTTAATTTTCTTCAATATATATTATTATTAGTTCATTTTTTTCTAATATTTATTATTAGGGGTCAACTCTTATAATTTATTTATTTTCTAATATTTGTATAAGTGTCTAATTTTTTGCCAATATTTTTTTCTAAACTTTTTATTAAAGGTCTATTTATTTTCAATAATTATTATTAGGAGCTCAATTTTTAAATATTTATTAAAGGTCTAATATTGCACTGCTATAGATACGGGGACGGGAATTGGGATAGAAAACAACCATTTCTAAAATTATAGGATACGAGAATGGTAAGAGTACGACATATACAAAAAATTTAAAATTATAAATAGATGTAAAAAATCATAAATAAAATCGATATTTCATAGAAAATTGGTGTAACACCCTAATTAAAAAATCCTAACATTTGCTTTTTTTTTCAAATCCCTAAATTAATTTTGGTGACCAATTTGAAAATACTACAAACTTGTTGTCAAATTCGAAAGTCCTACAAAGCTTAGGGATCAACTTAAAATTATACCAAAAATTCTCTAAATCCTATTCTAACTCTTCTTTTTCCTCGCGGCCGCTTCCTATTTCTTCTTTATTTTCTTTCTTATTTTTCTTTCTTGTAAACCCCTTTACTGACCTAGAGGGAACATACAAGATCCAGAAGGTCCATTAACTAAATCCCAAAAACTTACCCAAAAGTTATTTTAAATACATTAAAATTTACCTTCAAATTTGTTGAATTAAAACACTCAAATAAACCAAAAACAATAATTAAAACGTAAATCAAATGCTTATAAAAAAAATCTGAGTTTAAATCCTCAAAACCCAAAATAGAATTTATGTCCAATGTCCCAAAATACAAGTAATAAGAAAAATAATTCCACAAAATATTATAATTAAAAGTCGATATAGAAATGTCAATAAAAATTCACATTGAATAAAGTTTTATTCTAAAAGTCGATTGAGAATATCCTAATACGATTTTCCTAGTGACAAAAAATCTGAAAGAGAGATAAACCAAGGGGGAATAAGCTATAAAGCTTATTGTGTCTCTAAATTGCAAATAAACTCAAGTCATAGCACAACTCGAATCAAATAATATTAATCATATTCCGAATCAAACAGTAATAATCAAATATTTAAATGTTATGTAAATGTTCATGTATCCACCCGTACTCCTGTCACACCATTTGAAGAGCGGGTTTCCCAGAACCATAATATCTACAATCAAACCACGTCATATGAAGTGACATTCACCCCGTCAAGTGAATGCACTGAATTTCCCTTATCAAAATTCGTCCCAAAATGAAATGCAGAATGAAATACATATCCGAATAACATAGATCTGAATAGCATATATCCAAATAACGCATAACCAAATTCTGATATGTTCTTAATGTCATAACTACACATATACAAATAATTCGAATGCATCTCATAAATTTCGAGTCCAACATATCCACATATTTCACATAGCAATTTCTGAATAAATACCAAACAAACATTATTTTACAGATCAACGATTATCAATAACCATACAAATCAGTCATACTCTCATGTTAAAAACAATTAAGTCAAACAATCAAAATATCACGGAGAATTTAGCACTGTGCAGAGACACACCTCGACATTAGCTAAAGACGATAATACTTTTTTCCACGGCCAGTCCGAACAATGGATCTAACCGAATTAGCTCCTATAGAATATTTACCCAATAATTTACTATTCTAATTTAACAATAAAACCAAATCTAAACCTAAACTATTAACTAATACTCATAATTGATTCTCGCAATTTGAGTCTGTTAAAAATTAGCCGGTAATGCTGTAGGGACGATAATTCTGTTTCCAAGTCAAAGTCTCCTGCAAGAAGACGATCATTTGTATTAATCTCCAATTCATCAATTCCAAATAATGAACAACTTAAACAACATTTATATTAATTTCTGATTCGAAACGCGGAACCACGCAGTGGGGTTTTCGTTCGTTTAATGGGCTGCCGATTTACTGCGATCAATGACTGTAAGAGATAGCCACCGAGCAACAACCATGGCCAAGAAACGACAACCCACAATGTCTAGCACAACTGAACAAAGATATTCCATCCAACCACGGTGTTCGACACCAAATCAGTATAAATATAGCATCATTCACCATATAAGTAGTAGTACCAAATCTTTAAAGCAAACACATCAGATGCTAACTCCAAATCATGAGTCGGATAATTTCGTTCGTGCGTCTTTAACTGTCTCGAAGAATAAGCCACTACTTTATCTTCTTGCATCAAAACACATCCCAAACCATTATGGGACGCATCACTGTAAATCGCATAATCTTTGTCTGATTCTGGTTGTACTAAAATTGGAGCTTCTGTCAGAATCTTCGTAAGCGTATCGAAGCTTTCTTGGCACTTTTCAATCCAAACAAATGGTACATCTTTTCTGAGCAACTTGGTAAGTGGAGAAGCAATCATCAAGAAATTCTTCACGAATCTCCGATAATAGCATGCTAATCCCAAGAAACTTCGAACCTCAAAAACATTCTTTGAAGTTTTCCACTCTACATTTGCTTGTACTTTCTTTGGATCTACTTTGATTCCTTCAGCTGAAATCACATGTCAAGTGTAGACACCCGTTTTTATCCGGGTTTAAAAAAAATATATTATTGTTTATTTATTTATTTATTATTATTATTATTATTATATATTTTTTATCTTTGTAGGCCCCATGATTCAACCCCCAACTATCCAGCCACATCACCTTGTAGGTTTGTTTTCCACGTTCCAAACGGCTCAACTCCACCCACGTACGACCAGCAAAGCCATGAAAAACAAACGCTGAAAAAGTGGAGAGCGGTTCCCATTTTTTTCCATTTAAAATAGAGTTCTGGGGTATTGAAGAGGAGGAGGTCTTTGTGAGTGACCGGGACATACCTCGGTCCGCTCAGCTCAACTCAATCGTCCTAGAAACTTATCCATGGCGTCGCTGCACACCGCGATATCTTCTCAAAGCCTCCTTTCTTTATTAAAACCTCGAAAACCCATCACGAGGCAGTTCTCATCTTCCTCATTAACCACTTCAAAGCTGTCCGATGATTTCGTTTTCTTCGGAACCAAACAGAAAAGGAACTGCAACAAAATGGCCAACTCGGTGGTGATGAACTCATTAGCCGAGGAGCTCGACGTGATCCCAATTCAAAGCGAGGATGTTACCGACATGCAAGAAGGAGTCGCGATGAGCCATGTCGAGAGAGAATCACTAGGGAAAGACCTAGTGACTCAAGGATGAACTATTTATGAGATATTAAGATATGCACCTCAACACAACTGGAGTGCTTATGAAGAAGCTTTGAAGACAAATCATGTTTTACCAAAAATGGTTATTAGTAGAGTCATCTATTCTCTTGGGGATTGGACTGCGCAATGCTTTGAAGGGAAATCTCTCTTCGAGTTCGATCGTACCCGAATGTTCAGATCTGGCCTTGTTGGTTTTACTCTGCAGGGTTCACTGTCTCATTACTATTACCAGTTTTGTGAGAAGCTTTTTCCTTTCCAAGATTGTCGGATGGAAGCTTTGGTCGTTTGCACATCTTATCACTTACGATGTCATTCCGGTAGAACAAAGGCTTCTTTGGGTGGGCTACGTAGAACTTATTTGGGTCACGATTCTCTCAACTTATTCAAACGAAAGATCGGAAGCAAGGATCTCCGAGGCGGCACGATCACTCCGTTTTGGCTCATTGGTTTTCCAATGGAGCACGACCATCTGTTTGCAAAAGAGAAGAGGATTTCCATCTAATACAGTGATATCTCTTTGCTAGAGGAGCCATCTGAACTCACTACAGGAAGCTTCTGCCGTGAAAATCAAATAAACCCCATGGTTTTGAACATTGGGTAAATTCATCTATAGGTTCCTTTTTTCATTTATTTTATTACTTTTTTTATGTTATTTTATTTTGTTCCCTTTTGATTTATTTAATGCTTTTTATTTTCTTTATTTTCTTATTTTCTTCTTATTATTATTTTTCCTTCCTTTTATTTATTTAATATTTATTATTCTTTATCTAATATTTTTGACTTTTTAGGGATATTTTCAATCGATCAAAGGTAATTAATTCAAATTGAATTTTAAGTTTTAATTTAAATTTTAATTTTCGCAATTAAGACAACCGGTAAATTAATTGGT